TATAAGTTTGTTAGGTGTAATACAGTTACACCATGAATGACTTTGACCCATATAAATATATACCAAAGGGAGATGTTTCCTAGGTAACAAAATCAAATGAGAATTTCTTCTGTTTTATGTAAAATGTCAACAGTTCCGAGGAGCTGGAATAAATCCCATGACCTTAAAATGTTACTATTGCTACTCAAAGGTCACCAAGCAGCCTATGTTCACATCTACTTTGCAGCACTTCTCATCAGTTGACAACAGATTTTAGCATCTCCCTTAGTTTCTGGTCATTCAACAACACATACTGATAAAGCAGACATCTGGCAACATACTTGTGGAATAAAACTTTCAGTATGGACAATGGGATTATTTTGAAACAGTCAAAGGAAGAAAACAGATTAAGTGGCACAAATAATTCCATGTACACATTTGTCAAATAGCCCTCAGGTTGCTTAGAGATTACAGTGTGTGACTGTATCACAGAATTGCTTTAGATTACTAATAACATAAAATCCACAAATATAACAACATGTATTTAAATCCTTATAAAATATCCATTCTAGAAAAGTGTCTTTCATCGAAGATTAGATAATGTATGTAAATATAGTCAACTGAGCCAAGTACATTGATGTTTAATTATAGATTGGATTATTTTGTCATTTTGTAAAATATTAATTATGAATGTACAGAACTACAAAATTGTGAAATATATGACTAGCAGAAGATCAAAGATCACTATATAACAGATATTGAACAGTCATAACCAAGATTCTCTTGTCACTTCTGCTTTGTTTGGGGGTTAGTGTTGTATTTAGCTGTTGTTGTTATGGTGAGCAGCAAGCCCCCAATTTGATCTTTTTATACTGGTTCCCTGTTTTTCTATGAAGTACTTTAAAAACTCAAAACCTGTAGTACTGCTACTGCCCAGACTAGAAAGACTGGCTCACCTGTAAGAGCTGTTGTAATCTGTGAGAGTTGGACCATGACTTAAATTTGTCAAAGATAAATTTGAGAAACTGAAGTCCATTTCTATTTTAATCGGATGGAGAGTGTTTTTCTACAGAGTACTTTGGCTTCAGAAAACAAATGTATAATCTATTCTTTACATCTTAAACTCAATTTTTGTATCTGTATGGACTAAATCCTTTACACAGGGTTATTGAGGATATATTTCCTATGAATAAGTAAATAAAACTCCATGCCATTGAATTGTATATCAGATTTATTTGCTGTTTCAGATATATTACGCTGTCAAAAGTCTGCAATTTTTCAAAGAAAGCGTGACATTTTTCCACATCAAGATAGGCATATGCAGTGCTGTGGAGGAGCTGGTAGTGATACATGTAGGTATAAATAACATAGGGAAAAGTAAGAGTTCCTGGTGGCCAAATTTAGAGTGCCAAATAAGAGATTAAAATCCAACAACTCCACTTCCTTCTGAAATATTCCAGTCCCAAGAACAAAGCCAGTTAGGCAAAACTACAAGGTCTCCAAACATAAGACAGACAACTTTGCTTGGAGGAAAGACTTAAGGAAACGTTTAGGTCAGGAAGTGCCTACATAGGAAGGATGGGCTCCACCTAATACAAACAACCAGACTGATAGCACATAGTATAAAAACTCCTGTACAACTTTTTTTTTTTTTTTTTTTTAACCTTAAGGACTGGGGAAAACCAGCAAGCATGGAGCAAGCAAGCAAACAGTTCAGACAGAACTAGTCCTTTGGGAGGATTATTAAAGGTGATACTCTACAATTTAGTACAGAGGAAAAGATAGATAGTTTTCCATTTTGCTGTTTATTTTTAGTTCTTACCTGTATTATAAACATCACATGAAGACAAATGCCTAACTATTGAAAAATTTTGCATTAGGTGCATATAAATGCTAGAAGTCTAAATACTAAGGTGGGTGAATTTGGAAGTATGGTATTAAATGAGATTGTTAATGTAACAGGTACCACAAAAACTTGGTGGATTGATAATCAATGGGACACAGTAATACTCAGGATACGTCTACACTACAGTGTTATTTCAAAATATCTTAATTCGAAATAGTTAATTTCAAAATAACGCGTCTATACACAAAATGCAATTCAAAATAGCTTTTGACTGAATCAAAATAGAGCGTCTACACTGATTAGACAATGACTCACATTTAAGGCCATCTGAAACTGATTCTAGCAGGGCATCAGGTCAGTAGTTGCTTTGTGTGGCTGCTATCTGAGGTTTGTGCTTAAACGGTCCCCCCTGGACAGTCAGTTCTCAGCTTTCCCTGCTTGCTTGCCTACCTCGCTGAGGGACAGCAAAGCATTTTTCTCTCTGCCTGCTTGGTTGCCCTCATTCAGAACACCACAGCACTCGGCACCATGGAGCCAAGGCCGCCCCCAGGCACTCTGACGCTTCTTTTGGATGTTTTGCTGCAAGCCTGGCAGCAAGTGCTGGAGACTGCATGGCACCAGCTGCGGTAGCCCAATCTCCAGGTCCTCTTCTGGACCCCCCCCTCGGGGGGCCCATGGAGGAGTAGCGCCTGGACGCCAGCATGCCCTGCTGCATCTGGCGCCTCACCTGGGCACCAGCAGCGACTGGTGGGACCACATCATCCGTGAGCACTGGGGAGACCAACAGTGGACCCAGAACTTCAGGATGAAGAAGGACACCTTCCTCGAGCTCTGTGAGTGTCTCATCCCTGCTCTGCAGCAACGGGACATGCACATGAAGCCCACCATTCCCCTCCATACGTGTGTGGCCATTGCCCTATGGAAGCTCTCCACTCTGGATAGCTACCAGTCTGTCGGCAACCAGTTTGGCGTGGGGAAATCCACTGTCGGAACAGAGCTCATCCAGGTATGGCAGTCTCCAGCCATTCTGCTGGGGGGAGGAGGGCAAAGAGTGGATGGGCTGCCCAAGGAAAAGGAGGGGAGGGGGTGCAAGTCCCATCCATGGGACGGTTGTTCTGTCCCAGCTGCCTTTCAGAATGCCCACAGTGGCCAAGATTGTGTGTGTGTGGGGGGGGGGTAATTGCTCCTGGGAATTGGGGGAGCAGGGCAGCAGTGAGGAAGGAGCACTCTCACAGCCATCCTGGATCCTCAGTGACACTCGGTGGTTTTCTGTGACCCTCTGCAGGTGGTCAAGGCCATCAATAGAGTGCTGCTCCGCAGAGTTGTCTGCCTCACCGATGTGGACACGGTCGTCAAGGGATGTGGTGCCCTGGGTTTCCCAAAATACAAGGGGGCAATCGATGGGATGCACATCCCCAACCGTGCCCCAGAACACGAGGCCTCACTCTACATAAACCAGAAGGGATACTTCTCAGTCATCCTGCAGGCTGTGTCTGACCACTGGGGACAGTTCATGGACATTAATGTGGGCTGGTCTGGCAAAGCACATGACACGCGGGTTTACAGCAACTCCTCTGTGTGCCAGAGGCTGCATGTTGGGCCCTTCTCCCCTGCCCGCCACATCAGGGTCAGGGATGTGGACATGCCTGTCTGCCTGGTGGGGGATGTGCCCTACCCCCTATAATCCTAGCGCCTGAAGCCCTACATGAGACACCTCAACCCCTCCTGACAGGCCTTTAATGCTAGGCTCAGCAGGGCCCGCATCACGGTGGAGGGTGCCTTTGGCCGGCTGAAGGAGGGAACTGGAAGGGGGAAGCTAGGGGAAGAAGTGGGAGGGGAAGCTCAGGGGTGGCGGTCTCGCCAGGCCAACTTTCTCCCAACACTGCGGATGCGGGGGCCTCGGCATCCCCACGAGGATGGGGAGGAGAGTGTGGAGGGTGAGGTCTGGAGGGTGAGGTCTAGGGTGTGGAGATTGAGGAGGGAGAAGCAGGAAGGGGAGAAGGAGCGGGAGGAGGAGCGGGAGCTGGGGAGGCAGCAAGTGCTAGAGAAGCACATTCTCACCAGGGTCTGCACATGAGCACAGATGGCATGACCCTGGGCAAGCTGTCCCCACCGGAGCTCCAAATCTAATTCCACCCAGCGGTTGAGGGTGCAGCGCAGGGCTCGCAGTGCCCCCAGATGCTGCTCTTGGTACCCCTGCAGTGTTTGGCTGGTCCTCCTGCAGAGCCCTTATGTGTGGGAGCATGTCCCATGTGGGGTGGTGCACCCTGCACGTGCAGCTGGTGCGGCTGTGGAGAAAGAAGAGAAGTGGTCAGTTCTCCCTGGGGACAAAGTGGGTGAAGCCAAGCCCCCCTCTGCAAGGTGAGGATAACCATTCCCTGCACCATCATAGCCGATGTGCTTGCACAGAGGCCATGGTCAGATTGTCCATCTATCCGTGGGAGTGGGAGCTGCCCCGAGACTGCACCCATGCCCCTGTGCTGTGTACAGTGCTGCTGAGGTGAAGGGGAAGCTGTCCCCTGCCTCTATGTAGAGGGGGCTTGTGAAGGGAGGGAGTCTTGCTGTGTCCCACCCCAGAGTCAGGAGCATGTCATGTCTCTTCACACATGCATGTTGCTAACAGACCAAGGCCCCTGTGTGGTAGCCAGCTGGAGCCACCTGCCATGGGTGGCACAGCACGCGGTCTCACGTGCAAAGGTTGCTGCATGATCTGTGGTAAGCAAAGTTCACGCGCGTGGTCCCTGGTCTCCCTTTCCACCCCCCAATGGGCTAACATTGAATTAACTACACAACTTCAGCTACATCAATTGTGTAGCTGAAGTCGAAATAGCTTAAATAGGCTTTAGGCACTTTCACTCTTCCTTTAACTTCCCTTACTCCTTGTGAAATGAGGTTACCATGAGTCGGAGTAAGAAGTCCTCCAGCTCAACATCATTTAAAAATAAAGGCTTGTAGTGCAAATGCATGCTATGTTATTTTGGAATAACATCAGTTGTTCCAAAATAATTCTGTTGTGTGGATGTATCCTAACTGGTTAAAAAGATAGGAAAAATGATAGGAGTAAATGTTCTATTTTCATAGCAGAACAGCAAATAGTGGGTAAATAATGGATAAATATCTATGGTAGGACTAGTGCTGTACAACATACCTTATAAATATTTCTGAAAGTTGGTTCGTTTTTTTGTTTGTCCTGAAAGATCTCTGAAACGGTAAGAGATAGAAACACCAAACTTTGCACGGACACTACTGATTTCCTAACTTCAATAAGTGGATTGGTTATATCTCTAAATTGGTTCCCCCAGAGCCCTAATTGGGCTCTCTGTTAATTAGCTTTTAGCAGCACCTGATCGTAGGACTCTTCTGTTAAGCGTGTCACATAAACTGCAACTACGAGAACCAAGAGGATAAAGCATTTGGGCACTTGCATCATCATCAAGGGAAAGCCCATGGGGGAGAGGCTGCAGTGAGGCAGAAAATCAGCAACCTACCCTATACTAGGGCAGCAGCAGATCTCCAGGACAGATCCAAATGTGGCTGATGCTGGCTGGGGTCTAGCCTTGCTAATTGTGGCGGGGAGAAGCCTCCAGCTATCACAACCTCTCAACATCTTCATGCAGCTGGGCTCCCACTGATCCCCTTCTGGAAATTACAGTTGCTTTCCTCCCCTCACACCCAAACAAGCCATCCCACCACTTGACCTCATTTGGGCTGTGTGCATTCTCCTGGAAGGGTCATGTGTGTTATCAACAAGTGCCACGGGCATTATGCATTTTGCAGGATTCAGCTCACAGTACAAAGAAGAGGTGGGTAGGAGGACAAGGTTTTGAGCACCGTGGAGCCTGAAGAGGATATGGTACACTCAGAACAGCCTATTCTCATTAGAACAGGTGTTGCATGTTCTGATCATCTAGATATCACTAATTACAACTGGTCTAAATGTGTTTCGCTTTGTCTGATCAATGCAACCGGTCCAGCTCCCACTAGGAAGTCCATTATGGTTGCCCCATGGAGCATGCACTGAAGGCACTCAGGGAGTGGCTACTTGGAGAGCAGTTATTTGCTGCTGCTGCAGAGCCCAGGAGACATCCCCTCCATTTCTCAGGGCTTCTGGCAAGAAGGCTGCAGGCATTGGTTTGCATAGAGTCTTTAAGGGAAGATGGGCCTTCCTGATTTGTGGGGATTGAAAAAAGATACCCTATGGGATTTGTTGTTTTGTAAGCACATCACTAGCTACGTTAATTTCTTAAAGTAATATATAAGAGAAAAGTATTTCCAATACAATATGCTATGTTAATGTACTTGACGTAGTTCATTCATCACACCTTTTACTATATTTTCCCGAGGCGACACCAGGTATTTCTGCTAGTTAATAAATATTCTGGAAAAAAGATGGAAATAGTGATGGGGCAAAGTCTGCAAAATGTTACAAAATAATTCCCAGTAGTTAGGTCCAAAGCTGATTGCGAAGAATTAGGGTATGTCTACATTCCCCCGCTAGTTCGAACTAGCGGGGTAATGTAGACATACCCTAATTCTTCGCAATCAGCTTTGGACCTAACTACTGGGAATTATTTTGTAACATTTTGCAGACTTTGCCCCATCACTATTTCCATCTTTTTTCCAGAATATTTATTAACTAGCAGAAATACCTGGTGTCGCCTCGGGAAAATATAGTAAAAGGTGTGATGAATGAACTACGTCAAGTACATTAACATAGCATATTGTATTGGAAATACTTTCCATTTTTAAAAGCCAGCTTGTTCAAATCCAAATTTGAAATTCAAATCCCGGGCTTCATTAGCAAGTTCGGTATGCATACATTACCCCGCTAGTTCGAACTAGCGGGGTAGTGTAGACATGCCCTTAGAGTTATCCAATTTGATAAATGTAAACCAAAGCACACTGGAAAACAAAATCCCAATTATACATTCAAAATCCTGGGGTCTAAATTACTCAAGAAAGAGATGGTGGTGTCATCACTACTTCTTCACTGAAAACATTGGCTGAATGTACAGTGTCCAAACATTACCAGAATGTTAGGAACCATTAGGAATGAAAAATACAGAAAATATCATAATCCCATTCCTCACATACTGCATGCACTTCTGGTCATTCCCTCCCCACCCCATCTCAAAAAAAGATATTTTAGAATTGGAACACAGTTCTGCAAGTGTAGAGCAACACACCAAAATAATTATGGGTGTAGACAGTTAAAAGGAGAGATTTAAAATACTAAGACTGTCCAGCTGAGAAAAAAAGATGACTGAGGATATGGCTGACGTCTATGAAAGTATGAATTGTGTAGAGGAAGAGTACAGGGAAGTCTTATATACCCCTCAATAATGCATGAACCAGGAGTCACACAGTGAAATGAATAAGCAGCAAATTTATAAACAATATGATGTACTTACACAATGAACATAGTGAACTCTTTGTCATGAGTGTTGTGAAGGCCAAAAATATAAGTGGGTTTAAAAAGTAACTAGGCAAATTAATGAAAGATAAATCCATCAATGGCTATTAGCCAAGATAATCATGCCTTTGGTATGTCTCAACATCTGAGCACCTAAATTTGGAACTGGATACCAGAATCACTTAATGAATTTCCCTGCTCTGTTTATTTTTTCTGTAGCACCTGGCACCAGCTATTGTCAAACTACCAAATTACATGTACCATTGGTATGGACACTCTTACGTTAAAGGAAAAGCCTGCTCTGATATAATTCTTTATTGTTCCTGCCAAGGTGTTATTTATTTCAACCAGTCACATTTTTATATTTTTTCATGTCCACTTAGTTAATATAGAGCTTGGTAGTTCATGAAATCTGCTATAGAGTTAAGTGATGGCCAGCAAAATGAGCATGTACATTTTATTATAGCAAGATAAATCTGAATGATATTATGCATGGACAGGAGATTCTAAAATTTTATTGTGGAAATTATTCTCTTTAACATAAAATAAAAAGATAGACAGCAACGAAGAACAAAGGCCCAGCTTCTCAAAGATATTTAGTCACCTATTTTCTCTCTCAATTCAGACTTTTAGCTCAGAATCATAGAAATATTGGACTAGAAGCAATCAACAGCTCATCTAGTTCTTTCCTTGCACAAGGCAAGGCAGAGAATGAGCCAGACCACCTTAACAGTCTGACACCCATTCATTTTCGCTCCTTGCAGATTTTTATGCAGATAAAAGTCCCTTTGTTAATTCTGTGGTACTTAAACCTGATCAGTCCAATCCATGCATCTTCCCAGGGGGTAAACTTTCAGGAATGGCTTCAGAGGGGTAGTCAAGTTAGTCTGTAACTGGAAAAACCTAAAAAAAAATTAATAGTCTAGTGGCACCTTAAAATTAACAAAACATGTAGATGGTATCATGAGCTTTTGTGGATACAATCTACTTCTTCAGATTGGAGTATTAGAAGTCCAGATATAAGAATAAATAAGGGAAGATGGAGGCAGGTAAGAAGAGGAGGAAAGAAAAGAGAAAAACATTGTATTGTTTAGCAAGCTCTGGCAATTGAATTGGAGTCATTGCCTAGTTCTTGGTCAAGAAAAGAGAGCTCCAGTTGGAATTACCAACAATGTACACTCCAGAGCTCCAAAGAGATGAACACAATATTCATAATTAAATAAGACAAGTATCTCCAACGCCCTTTGCAGAAGTGCAAGGGCTATTCCTACATTTAAGTCTCATTTAAGTCTTGGTAAGAATGTTCATAGGGCATAGATGCTTTGCTTACCTCATGGGCTGTGTCTACACTGCACCCCTTTTCCAGAAAAGGGATGCAGATTAGACACTTTGGAATACCAAAATCTGCGGGGGATTTAAATATCCCCCACGGTATTTGCATTAACATGGCTGCCGCTTTTTTCCGGCTTGGGGATAAGCCAGAGAAAAGCGGCAGTATAGACGTGATTCTCTGGAAAATAAACCCTTTTCCGGAGGATCTTTTATTCCTACTTGAAAAAAAGATCAAGGCAAGACCCTGATCTACATGGACATCTAATCTCTTTATTTCATGGTGACAGACCCATACCAGCGTTATATAAGATTTTTTTTTCTGGAAAGCAATTTTTGTTGTATTAAATTTGATTTGGAAGCAGAAAGAATAGCCACACAAAAAAGGATTGGCAGGAATGGTAAAGAATCTATAATTCAATGTCTATTTGTCCACCAACCTAAGCTTAGACTGTTAGCTGTTTGGAGCAGGGATGATTCTTTCTTTTCTGCCTGGAAAGTACCTATTACATACTGGAATTTTTTAAAAATAGCTTTGTGCATCAAACAGTAATGAAACTAGGCTTTGAGTTGTGGAAAAATACACATCAAGAGTAGAAGTGCATTACAGAATTGAAATTTTTGTAGTCATTCTTCCTCTCAAAAATAACCAGCATAAATTCACTATTTTAGTTTATTGTAACTAGAATTATAATGCAGCAAATCAAATGGGCTATTGCATTCCATTTCATTATTAACGGAGTTTCATTAGAGTTACTCTGTGTTTAGAACCTGTAAGTGAATGAATGCCTCTATCCAGAGAAAACGTGCCTAAAATGTCATTGGTTTAAATGGCAGGCAACTAAAATTAATCCCCTAGAAGGACGCACTCAGGGCCAGAATTTTAAATGTCTTTAGGTACCCAAAGATATAGATAAGCACCTAAAGGGATTTTCAAAAGCATAGGCATTTTCAGCATCTTTAGGCTGCTTAAAAACCTTTAAAAATCTTTCTTTCCACCCTTTGAAAGACCAGGCTCTAAAAGGAGGTTTGCAGTGTACAATAAACAAGAGGATGGTAGACGCCAGTGAAAGGAGCATGTTGTATAAAAGAGCTGGATGTATAAAAGGGTGAGACGGGAAAAAAACAGTTTTAAAAATTATATACCATTCAAAATGTGTATTAGATATAACTTTGTAAGCCAACTTCAAATGCACCGAGGCTATTGTCTCTGTAATGAATGCACTCCACTGCCTGGCTGCCAGTGTGTGTGTGTGTGTGTGTGTGTGTGTGCACGCGCGCGTGCTCCTGAAGTTAAAGCTCTGAAGTTAAAGCTCTGAAGAACTTACAGAGTCATGCTATTGTACTTCATTACAGCTTTATACATCTCCTGCTATGGCACCTGGATAAGCTTGAATTCAATTATGTGTTTAAAGGGTTTTATGAGCAATGGTTCACACTTATAGCCCTCTCTATTTCA